ACAACATTATAATATATTAGTCATTATACGTGGAACAGAAACAACGAAAATATTAAAAGCTCATTAAATGGAAAGTAATGAATAAATTTTGATGGGAATCCTGTACAAAAATGATTGGTAACAATGCCTAAACTATTCGAGCTATTACAGTACTTCCCAGAATAATTTCCATTGAATTCTTTATACATACACTGCAACGGTCTGAATATGTAGACGTGACAAGAGGTTAAAGAACGTAGTTAATAATCTGCCAGATATTTTCGTAAATCATTAAATCGGACTAAAACAAAATTGAACATTTCGTGCTAACAGATTTGATACATTTTCAGGCAAGTTAGCTAAGTCATCTCTTAGTACTCATTTTCCATCAACACCGAACACGAGAAAAATTTTATTTTTACACCTGTTTAATGGCAGTAATAATTTCAGGTAAGCGGGCTTAGTAGTTTTTTGAATTAGGTATATTAGCCGATAACTGCGGCAAACGAACTTGAATCTTCACCAAATTTTATGAATATGTTGATTTTGCGCAGGCGCATTGGCTGTAATAATTTCAGGAGAGTGGGTTTAATCGATTCTCAATAGGGATTTTTTGATACCTTTGCTAGCGCGAACTCCTGCACACCCATAATAATAAAATAGCGGTTTCAACGTTTATTAGGCCGTAGGCCTGTCGCCGATTCTTAACATCGGAGTACATTTACAGCTTGCTGCAGTCTCGAACTCGCAACTCACGGCTACAATTCTGCTTTGCTTAACCGCCCGGCCTCCTCGCCGATTCTGACCAGAAACTGGCGCACGGAGCTGGGATCGAACCCGCGCCTCTCTGCGCCAATCCTGGTACTCTGAACTGTAACCACTGGGCCACCCTGCCTTTATAAACAAACCCGACAGCAATCATTCATCTTCTGTGATAAAGTTGAATAAATTTTCGAGAGTTCCCCAAAGAATTCAATTTCGTTGGAAATTCCAGTGCGTAAACAAATCGCGAGAAAATGATTAAATATAAATACATTTTTAAAAAACACATTTTTCTGGTAGTTAGAAAACTAAAAACAATGAAATAAAACAAATAAAAGAACTTTTGAAAACACGTTTTCTTAACGGACAAATAAGAAAAACATTAACTCTTACATAACTTTACATAACATTCTACAAACTTTAATGTTATGTACAAGTTAATGTTTTTCTTTTTTGTTCGTTGAGAAAACGTGTTTTTTTAAGTTTTTTATTTGTTTTATTTCATTGTTTTTAGTTTTGTAACCACCAGAAAAACGTGATTTTTAAAAATGTTTTTTTATATTTATTTATTTTCTACTTTTTAGTTTAGCAATTTTAGCAATTTCAATCATTTTCCAGGGTTGGCAACTCTAGATGTTTGAAAAAAAAAAGGATCTTCAGAAATGCTAGGATCTTCAGAAGTGCTCTAAATTATGGTTTGAATTTTTGATGACAGACAGACACGAAGCGAAACTAAGAAAATGTAATAAAAATAATAATAATAATAAATAAAATAGAAGATATTGCGCGCCCTTGATGAAAGTCAAAGCGCCCGAGTTTTTCGCTCTGCGTGCCGCACGTATCCCAACAAAATTTGAGAAAATTAAGGTTTAATAAACAAAAAAAAAACTATCATGCATTTGCATTGTTGAAGAAAATTACATCGCTCCTACATACTGATTAGAATACGAAAACGGAGCAACTTTTCGACACTATTGCCCTTTTCTAACATAATGGTACAAATTAGCATATTCGCCCGCCAAGTGCATGCAACAGGCTTTCGATGTATAAACACAAGCAAGTAACTCAATACCTGAAATGGTCAGTAAATAACTGCCCCTTAACTTGCAGAGGTGGGCAGTAGCGCGCTACATGTAGCGGTAGCGGTCTAACCTGTACTAGTTTGCGCTACATTTAAGCAATTGTAGCGGTAGCGCCCGCTACATATTTAAGTAGCAATACGAGGTTTTGACGCTACAGCGCTACCGCTACATTTATTGATAAAGCCTTTAGATTTTACTTAATAGTATTAAATATTATTTAAAAACCAGCATGATACATATTAAAACATACATAAAATAAATTACAGAATAAAACTGTACGAAAGATTTCGGTGTAATGTTGTCACCCTCAGCCTGTTACTGGTGTCAACATGTTTGTTGTTACTCGTTCAAGTTGTTACCAGTTACAGGTATTTTTTCATGTTTCAGTTTGCTCACAGTTATTTTTATGTTTCACCTTCCCTAAATGGATGTCTACTTTAATCTACCAATCTCAAAAATAATCCACATATATATACAAATAAAAGACTGATTTTTATATGTATATGTGGATAATTTTTGAGATTGGTAGATTAAAGTAGACATCCCTGTAGGGAAGGTAAAACATATAAAGTAAATAACTAATTTTTATTTACTTTAAAATTTTGTAGTTCTAATTAAGGACCCATGTAGTCCTCAGTATCCATGCAGTTTTTATTTCCCATGTAGTTCTTAGTACCCAGGTAGCTCATAGTGCCCAAGCAATTATTGGTACCCATGTAGTTCTTCTCCCTCGTGTGGTTTTAATACCCATGTATTTATCATTACCCGTTTAGTTTTTAGTATCAATGCAGTTCTTAGTACCCATTTGGTTCTTTGAATCAAGACAGTTCTCAAAATACCCTTGCAGCTCTTTATCAGTTAATTTTGTGTTGCTAATTCATTTAGTTATTATTTATGCCCTTAATCTTCACCCTTAATTTATTGAGTAAATAATGACATGCAATGTACATCACCTTCCAGATACAAGTTATCATTAACATACTAATGGAAAAGTCTTTATAGGATAAGGATGTTTTATGTTGTTCGGTCGTTCACAACAACCAGGCTTAAAACTACAAAAATTTCTTTATATTTTCGTGTGTGTGAGTAATCAATCAACGTTATTATTCGTTAATCAACTCGCTTGATTCATGGCAATCGATTTAAATACCAGTTAAGAGAATAAATTTGTACCTACACGCCGTCCCTCCTGAAAATTCAGAGAATAAGAAAACCATAATTTGAACAGTATTTGGTTATTTTACCTCACAATTACAATTTCTTCCCAATTTTGGCCTTTGAATTTTCAATTCAAAACATTGACATTTCATTGCGATTCAAAAATGTTAAATTAAAAGAAAGATAATTAACGCTTTCTTTATCAATCGATTTCAGTTAAATTCAAAAACAGATTTAGGAATACTGATAGGCTTTGATCTCCTATATGTTACTCCTGTAGTTTGTTTAAACAGCATGCACGCATCAAAGACATAACTGCATGATTGACACGTATAACAATGGCACGACGCAATTACTCGACTCTTCATCAATGACAGGATATAATTGAGTTTACAGCCATCAATGTGGAATTTTTTAACATGACAAGGGTGTAAAATAAATAGGATGCATTATTTACGATCAGAAATGAAGCTTATTCTGGTCAATCCCCAGATGAAGGGTTTTTGCGGTGCTTTATCATGACCGAAATAAAAAAATGCAGCGTGATTTTCTTTACATTTCCGTGTGTATGGAAGAAAAGTAACTGCACTCGCCCCAGGTATCAATGATACATGGCCCATTTTTCGTCCTTTGAGCTCCGCACGAAGTGAACTTCGGCCTCCATGGTCGGCGACCCTGGCGAACTCATCGTGAATTTGTGTCTTTAAGATCCTGGTCAATGAAAAATTTGATTGATGCTTTTTATCGAGGAATAAATACTTAGCGCTCAGCCCTGAGTGCATACTACTAAACATAATTAACACAAAGTACAAGACTACAAAAACTGAAATACAAGTCAATTGGATAACTATGCTTGTCAAGTTGTCAATTTGTTGGGAACTTTACAAATGCAGAAATGCCCAGGATTTTGAATAAATTTAACTGTGAATTTGTGAAATAAAGCAAAACTGCTAACTTAAAAAACTATAAACCACAAGTTTTTGCCACAGTCAGTTACGGACTTACGGCCAATATGCCTGTGCCTATTATTCCAAATACCATATGCCTAATGCATAGAAGACACGTCACTCTTACTCACAGTCTTGCATAGATATACTATGAGTATGATAATGATAGTGATGCTGGCGATACAAAACTCAATAAAATTCAAAGTAAGCAAGAATCTTGGTCGTACTGTCCTTTCACTATAAATACTCACCACCAATACTAAGGTTGACTTTCTTTTCATGCGCATCATCATTGTAAGCTTTCACTACAGCAAATACTTCAATATAGCTGCTGCATGAGATACCTCGCTAAAGCTTCCAGCCATGTCTGCTAACAAACGTATTCTAATTTACAGTGGCGCTGACACACCAAACTTTACCTCAGCTGCTCACCGACTGAAGTATAAATGCAGAACAGAACAGCTGACTATAGAGGTAGAATGGGGAAAAAACTACGTGTAATATTATGATTTGTATTCGAGCTATTTAATAATGCAATTTAATTCTTTATATGAGATTAATTATGCATTCAACCTTCACCTTGAATTTCAAGGTCAACACTAAAATTTGTTTTTGTACTAAGGTTGACTTTCTTTTCGTGCGCATCATCATTGAAAGCTTTTACTACAGCAAATACTTCAATATAGCTGCTGCATGAGATACCTCGCTAAACCTTCCAGCCGTGTCTGCTAACAAACGTATTCTAATTTACAGTGGCGCTGACACACCAAACTTTACCTCGGCTACTCACCGACTGAAGTATAAATGCAGAACAGAACAGCTGACTATAGAGGTAGAATGGGGAAAAAACTACGTTTAATAGTATGATTTGTATTCGAGCTATTTAATAATACAATTTAATTCTTTATACGAGATTAATTAGGCATTCAACCTTCATCTTGAATTTCAAGGTCAACATTAAAATTTATTTTTGCTGACTTAATCTGAGCGCAAAACTATGATTCTTAAGCGTGTATCAACACTTAAATAGTAAATTAAATATAAAATTAGTATTTTACGAATTTGACGAAAAAATTGTTTTAGTATCATAAGTGGAATTTCATTTCCATATATGTATTCTACCATAACACCAAAAATGATTCGCTTGCAGTATTAATTGAATATTCATAAGCAAAGCACACACCGATATAAATGTTAAGATATGAAATTTTCTGATAACCTATAAAAAGTACGCAACGCGAGTGCAGAAAATGGTTCCTAAGTAACTTGTATTCGAATAATACCAACTTAGATTCATGAGAGATGTGAATTTTATCATATTTTGTGCTGACATTAAAAGAAGCCATTGCGTGTGAGGATTTCTTCAAGAAACACAATTACACAAGAACATAGAGCCTGAGAAATTTTGAGTATAGAACATGGTTTCACTCGCTCATGAAGACCTGGTTGAAGCGATCCGTCCACCTGTCTTTTGACCTCAACGGGCGCTTCTTGGATGGCTGGCCTGAGGGAAACAGTAACACAGCCGTCAGATTAACGGGACTGATTGCAGTCCAGAGAATTTTCTATCAAAATGAGGAATGCAGATAACAAATAGGAGTTCAGTACAATGAAGGAAATTACTCTGGATGGGAAAATAATATAGGATCTTGTTCGCAGTCAATGGAAAGGTTCTCGCAATGACGCTTTGGTACTAATAAGTTATATTATGAATTATCAATGAGATAGGTTCAAAATTGATAGAGTTCTGAATGAACTTGAGGGAAAGCGTCGTGTGTGTCTTTTCGTCGAAAACAACGACGACCTAAGAAATTATGACAAAGCCAGAGACGTCGCATTTACACATATGAAAGATTTTTCAGTTACTTGGATCGGTTCATTATTAAGTTAGTTATGTGTGATTCACTCGCAAAAAACGTGCATTTTATGCATTTGGGTCCACAGTCGAGCCAGCCCTTGAGTTTGGGAAAGTTTCGATATTGTACAATTGTACACATTTCTCTGCGGAGTAAAATTAAAGCAATAATATTTTAGCCTCAGCGAACGTCGGCTCAACTAACCAGTCGGAAACACACTGTTAGAAAAATTCCCGTTAACGGTATTACCGGCGTTTCAGTGGCCGGTCGGCACGTGAAAAGAAACACCGTGTCGCCGTTTTTATTCTAATTTAACGCTAGAAATCCGTATAACATCTGATATAAACGGCGAAACAGTTTATTTTCACGGGACGACCGGCCACTAGAATTAACGCAGGTGGGACCGTTTTTTCACCGTTTTTTCTAACAGCGCATGAGAATATGAATTAGCTTAAATTGACGTTTGTCTGGAATTGCAGGAGCTGTGCATGCGTTGCTTATCCCACTGGTTCTCTTGAAGCCTATGCGTTTCCGAGAGATGAGGAAGGACAATTTTGAGACTATCGCCCCTTGGAAATGTGTATCTGAATTTGTCTGATCAAATCCGTTTGTATATATGCCATATTGAGGTTGCTGGTCGTCGAAATGATTCAGGACAAGAAGGGTGCCAGTAACTAAAGCGCTGATTCCACCTCAGACTGTAAAGCCGAAAAATGATGACAGGAAAGAATATTAAAGATTGGAATTACCACAGAAATGCAAAATTAAGCCTTGTTTCAACTGAATTGATTGCTGAATTGAATCCTGTTTCATTTCTATTATTAGCCAAATGAATCGTGTTGCAAGCAATGAATCTCTGAATGAAAGCTTTCAGCTTAGGATTGCCTCCAAACGCAAAGAACAAAAAATATTTACTACTTGTCAACTATCCATCCATTCATGATTTTACCTATCAACAAAACAAGACGCAAGCTGAAATGAATTTCAAAATTTTGTCATCATCCCGTCAGGATCACGCAAACTACTAGTTTGCGTGTCGGTGTCCGAGCCCACATTTTCACCGTGAGGCAGCTGCTCCGGAGGACCGGCCAAGATGATGATTTTCTTCGGAATTTTCTTGACGGGAGCGACGGACTTGGTGACGCCCTCCGAGACGTCGTAGCAGCGCGGCCACACCAGGATCAGGAACACGTCGAATAAGTAGTAGACCACGTCGAAGAAGGTGATCAGCGACACGCCCACGAAGCCCAAATTGCCGCCCAAGTTTGCGATCAGAGTTGCCCACTGTGGGCATAAAATAAGCATATAAATTGAGAAAAAATTACAAGTATGATGAACTAAGCTGATGTCTACTGAATGAGATGTAAGCATTTGTTGCATAAACTTCATCTACAATGGAATCGGGAGAATATGTAAAGGTCTTTAAGTTTTGTCGATCGCGACATTATGTTCTTCAGGAATATAAACCAATACTCTTAGCAGACTAATGGTAAGACACGCAGTTTTGCTTTACTCACTGCAAAAAAATTGAGATTAATCATTTATCATGAGACATTGTTAAGGTTTACTCACTGTATAGGCTGGAGATTCATCAATTTCTTCGAATGAGAAAGAGTCAATGTAGATCTGAAGGCGGACTGTAGAATTCCATTCCCTGCTCAGAAAGATTTGACGTTTTGTTATTGAAATGTTTTGAAACATACAACCATTATTTTCCGTTGTGTCATTTGAAACTTTCTAAAATCCATTCATGATTGAGAAAAATATCTATTAGTGCTATATAAATCAGGTGTCGCTGTTAGGTTACTTTGATAGAATGTTCATGTTAAAACACAGCCATTGGTGAAGTCAGTATTTACAACTGGCTTCATACATACGAATTTTATCCCAAATTTCACAGGCATTTGAATGCACGTTAAATGCGTCCTAAACGAGAGAGTTGTCATTCTTCAATAATCTGATATAATATCCAGTGTATACTTCAATCTCGACTATAATACACATCCCGTACTCTATTGTATTAATTGCAGGGGCTCGTATCATTCCATATTCATTTTACATTCACCCTAAAAATACACTGACCCACGCGAGGAATAAAATACAATTATCCAATACAATTATGAATTAATTTCAAGTTTCGTCATTGACGAGTATTTTTTCCATACTTTTCGCTTCAATTTATTTTTTTATCGTTATTCAGCCCGAGATAGAGGCCTAGCCATGAAATTTCACTCGAGCAAGTGCAGTGCGGTCTTCTCTTCTAACGTCAATGCCACTTTAGCTGCCGCATCTCCCACGGTACCATCATTCAGTTAAAACCTTTAAATTTAAGAGCAAACGGAATCACAACTTTCTATCGAGACCGAAACAGCATCATATTTATCATGCGGTAATCGAACCCTACAAATCGCAGTTACGGACCATGCAGCAGTATTACGCGGTTTTAGTGACTAACGTCAAGCGAGTCAAGTCGCGATTCATGTGTCATTGACAGTATGGAAATCTCTTGTGCGATAATTGAAAATTAATACATTCGGTCCTGATAGTTACCATAAAGGTTTGTAAATAAAAAGTTTGATGTCGTAATAATCCTTTAGTAGAGCCAACCTACTCATATAATTGTTCACAGTAAATTAATTTAGAGTATTTTGAGTTTTCGAATGCACAGAAATTATCTGTTCATATTGCACGGTCTGAACAAGATTGATAATATTTCATGAACACAGCACCCACCCGCACAAGTCACCGCCCATCGGAACTTGTTTGATGTTCTGGACAATTTTGAGAAACTCCCTGTTGACGTCGGTGGACGATATGAGAGCCGAGTAGCGCACCTCTCTGTCAACCACAAGCGGCAGGTATGTCGGTTAATACAACTCATCAGAAAGAAGTTAATTTTTTCATGATGATAAATCCCCTACAAGCCCTAACTTTAACCCAGCTGCATAGGTACAACTGTTATTGCAACGTGGTAAAATTATGCAGCTGAACGAGGACTATGAACGAAGTCATAAGTTAGGGAAATGTTTTAGGGAATGGTTAAGAAAATGATTTCCTATATTTACACAGCATCGTAAGTAAAGGCATCTCCATTTGAGGAAACTTGTGAACAACTAAATTTATTCGAGAAATCATTACCGTATCCTAGTAATTCACTACAAAAAGTAAGTTTCATTGTTAAAATCACACATAAATTACGCAAGTAGACAACGCCCGCATAAGATTGTTAGGATACCGCAAAATTATTTTCCATTAACTAAATAGTAAGTGCACAATCAAAGCAGGAATAAATAGTAAATTTATTTATACTATGCGCGACAAGTTGATAAGCTTTTCATTACACAGCTTCACGTAGCAGAGATGACGCTGAACAACAAGAGGAAGAGGCTTTCCAGTTACTGATGCTCTATAGACATTCTTAAAATATCCGCAGGCCCCACGATCCCGTAATTCGTTTTGGAACATCACCAAGGCCATGCTGAAACACTACCCTCGACGCCTGTCAAGCGCCGTCCTCTAATGGCCCGTTCACACTAGGGGCAACACACGGGCGTCAAGCGCCTCACCGCCCATCTGTGTAGCGTCTGCTTGCACTTCTTGTGGGCAACGAAGCGATTGGCGAGCTAGCGATTCACAGCCGCCCTGCCTCATGCAACACAAGCGCTGGCGGCGGCTGCACTCAGTAGACAGCTGTCTGTGGTCTGGTGATGTTGTCTGTATACGCTGGTCCTTCACTATCGCAACTAACGCCACGCTTGTTTGTACTCACTCTCTCGTAGAGGCTAATTGATCTTTGTAGAGACCATGAATGCCTGTAGAGTTCAGTCAAAGGAGTATAAAAGTCGAAATCCAAAAGAACAAGCTCTGGTGAAAATAGTTAAAGTTTTAAAAAACTTTTGTGTACAAGTCACCGTTGTCGCGTCTTCAAAGCGCGCGGTCTCGAGCTCCCGCGTTCAAAAAAAGTGTGAACTGTTGCAGGCGGTGGGGCGCTGCAGCAAGCGCCTCAACGCCCATATCGTTGCCCCTAGTGTAAACGGGCCTTGACGCTACTACTGCGCTACACTGTAGTTCTACTGCGCTCAATATATAGCCTCTGCGCAATTTAATAGTGACGGTGCAATCACTGAGAGATCACTAAAGTTTCTGCGACTGAAGTATAGTGCACGGATCACTCGTCGGTTCAACACTTTACGTAAATCAGGAAGCCGCCATCCTTTGACTGTTTACGATTCCCGCGAGCATGAATGCATGTCGGATTAATGAACATGTTTGAGCTCATCGTCAATGCTGACTATGCGAGTGGGGACCGAAAAGAAACTGGACTGATGTAAAAAATATTTACTTATTTTTACAAAATCTTCTGTCAGAATTTTTCGGGGTGAACTCCAATTCACTTCGGAAATTTCCGCTTGTTCGTTAATGCTTCTTCGTCAATCTTTACGGATAAGGTTCATAATTCTTTTCAACATTTTTTTATGCGCGGTTAGTGGAAGGACGGCCTGAGCGAGGTTGGTAATCAATTGACATTCCCCGTTTTTGAAGCGGGAAATCACTAAAATAATTGCGTCCTCTCCATATAGCATCATCAGTGTTAGCTCTTGTAAGCAGTGTAGCATTTTCTTGCCACTCTCACAGAAGAAAGCAAAATTTGATGGCAGCACGTTGCTCACGAAAGTCAGCCATCACGAAAAAAGGACGAACGCGCAAAACAAGTATTACAAAAAAATGTGTGATAATGGAACACGGCATGTCTAAGAGATTTGCTTACTTGCAAGCGGGGTCGCAGTTACAGTTGAGTACTTCAGTGGTGGACTCGTAGTTCACTGCTTGCATACACAGACCTGCAGACGAAGCGGACAATAGTCTGAAATTGTTTCAAAGTTAGCTGATATGGGGTAAAACTTTTTTATAATTCGTTAGGTATTATTTGCGAGTAGTGTTGCAAGTAATGTTAATGGCTGTACAGAGTATGTACTCAAAGTATGAGGAACTAAGCCTGAAATGATTGATCTGGAACAATTACAATTGGTGTAGAAAATCTGATAACACTTGCTCGAAAAAAATTTCATAATTTGATGGCTGTGAATTAGAAACATGGAAGCTAATAGATAAATCTGCAAATTTTGTTATCCAAAAATTTTAGTCGCCGCCATATTAACGAAATTATTTCTTAACAGTCAAAGCCACAACATCAGCCAGGAGAAAAGTGCAGTGAACGTTTTATGTTTTATTTCATTCTGGGGTAAACCTAAGTTGATTACACGTGAATTGAATTAACACTAGATTTTACCATTACGTTGATCACTCTGCATAATTAATTCTCACCCTGAAAGCGGTCGAAGGCATCGCAATTCCCGAATTTCTTGGCCTTGAACTCGTCCTCCTCGCCGAGGGAGTCGAAGGCGGGGCCCTCGTTGACTGTGCAGTTGCACCGACGCCGGAACTCGCGTTCAATGCACAGCTTATTGCACAGCTACGGGGAGAAGGAAGCCACCATACCAATAGATTAATCAATTGAAAATGAAAAATAGCATTGAAAGGTTTTCATCATTATAAATGGTATTTTTTCCTGAGGATATTAAAATACCCATGTTATATCAAGTATATTCCGTTTTTTTACTTCCAGGTAGAAATAATTGCATTGAAGTCTTATTTGCGGTAGGTGTAAAAGGATTATAGAGAGTGAAGGATATACGAGAGGAACTGCGCATTTACAATTACTCGAAAGGGAGAGAGTTTCATTAGCTTATTAGCTCTACAGATTATTAAATTTTGATAGTACTCTATTGTGAAGCTTAACACGAGAGATGATTTTCCTTGATATATCACCGCTAGACTTCAATATACGAGTAATTGGAATTCAGAATTATGAATTCTTGAAGACGTACCGCTTCGGAGTAGTCGAACATCTTGCTGCTGGTGTCGGCACATTGTCCGTATGGAGGCCCTACGCGGCTCATCACAGTCTGCGTCAATAATTGTTATTATTAGCACGGTAATTAATTCACGGTTTTAAATTATGTAGTTCCGCGCTGATAACTTTATGGTTTCACGTGGACCAGAATTCAAAGGATTTTGGAAATAAGCATCAATATGTTTGGTATCCTATACAACCGACCCCAACGAATATGGTAAGATTGGAATGATAAGTTCTTACTCGTATTTGAGCCACTCACTTACCCATGCGTAACAACAGAGGCGCGATGGTCCCACCATTGACGTAGTACGTAATGAACATTAATCCGGTTATGTGGAGTTGAACTACTTTTGTCTTGGTCGAGTCACTGTCAATATTTAACTCCTCATTCATGCAGTTAATTAAACTAAGAGATTTTATTCCATTTCATTTTACTTTGGTTACGGCGATGGAGTGGGACAGTCCCGCGGCGAGGTTGAAGCCTTCATCGGCCGGGAAGGGCGCCTGCCAAGGCTCATGCAGCACCACGCGCAGCCCCGACCAGGGCGACAGCAACGACAGGTAGCTCGCCGCGTGCAGGTTCAGCGTCAGGCTCAGGCCGCTCTGGTCGAGTTGATGTCAAGAGAAAATGCGAATTTATTTTGCTACATTTAGTAGTTTTTGCTATGATGCAATGACAAGTGTTCCCGCTTAGGGTGTGTTGGTGAAGGATTATGTTGTTGTGTATGTTTGTGCAGACAACAATATAAATTTAACAATAAATCTTTCTGATGGATAATTCGTTTGTAATGAATGTCGGTTTGCGCCTAAAAATGCCCATTCATTGTAACATTCGCATTAATGACCACTCGAATAAAGCAATTCACATTTTTGATGGAAACTAATTTGCACAGAGATACTAAATTATTTACTTGGATTGGCTAACACAGTTTCAAAGATATTGTGTCAAAGTGTCAGTTTTAACTATAATACAAGCGTATTTATTTTTCAATAAATTCTAATTTGGAGCACACTTACACTCTTGCAATTTTGAAATAAACTCTTAAATATTTGTCAAAATAATTAGCCACGTATTTTCGAACTATTCAATTTAAGTTTAAATTAAAAACTAAATCCTTTTTCAAGTCGATACGGTATATATGATCGGTTTTTGTATTTAGTATTTTGTAATTATGCAGATTATAAATAATTAAACGAATACGTAGGAAAATATACATTATTTTGTCAACTCGATTTCCAGTGCTAAAAAATCCACCCAAACAGCAAACCTGCGGTCCGGTTTTGAACGAAGTTCTTGGCTTGAAGTTCTTTCTGCGGTCATCAATGCTGACGTTGGGGCTGGATTCTAGGACGAGGTGTGGGCTGTTGAACGTGTAGCAAACTCCCACATCCTTCGTCGTGTACGGGTAAAATTGCCTGAAATTGTTCACGTGGAAAGAGCCGTAACTAATGTATTCATACATGACTTTATTGGATGCTTTGTTATGATGAACCGCAAAAGTTGTTTTTAAATGAGATATTGGCCATTGAACTGGAAAAATACATGGCCTATGGTTTTGACGCTTAGAAGATATTGATTTGTGATCTTTTGTGTGTGGATCGGCTGAGCATTCCTATGATATTCGCAGCTTTCTAGTAACTGGAGTTCCAGTACGATAAAACTATCTTTAACTTTTTAATTCAAGTATTTCGTCTCATTCAAACGCTGTTTGCTAGACAACGTAGCATATTTGTTTAGTTTCTGCAGGTATCTGGTGAGTTGACCGAGAGATATTAGCTCTATATGTGATAGCAACATTAGTCATACGTATTATTGGCACATAATTAATAATTGCAAGATTACTTGTGTAATTTTAAAATTACTTGTAATTGCAATGGACGTTGTCGATGCTGCACACTTGGACGAAGTCTTCTCGTTTCCTCGCCGTCTTCTCGACCACGTCGCGGTCGGGGGCGAAGCGCCCCCTGAGATCCGACAAGTCGTACGTGCGGCTACGGTTTACGAGGGCTTTTACTCGCTGGTCAGTCATATTGATTTCTTTTGCAGGCTGCCACAAATCTGAAAAGCGCATTGTTATTGATAAAGGTGATAATCGGTACAGTTGAGAAGAAATATTTCTTTAATGCACATGTAGTTGAGGGCCAGGAAAATTCTACCAAAATTTTAATTTGCAGATAGAGATAAACAACGAAAATGTTAAATAACAAGCATTCTCTGGTCTTCTATGGAACGTGTTATTGATAAGTACATCGTTTTTTTTCTTATGCTGTCACATTATTTTACATAATTTGTTTATTTCCGGGTCTTTTTCTGATTTTTGATGTCATGGAATTTTTTATATTAAGAAGAAAATAGAAATTTAAGAAGAAAAAAAATGCTATTTGCTTACTCCGTAGATCGTAGACTCCGGAAACGCAAGAAACGGCCACGTGAGTGCAGTTGATGTAGGTCTCGTTATAGGCTGTGAATCGTAACAGGTGATAAGACGGAGATAAGATTTACTTAGCACAAACAGTGTAAATTAAGGTCAGTTTAATGCTTAAATTGTCTTCAAAATGCAGCGCTGTGATAAAATGGCAACGGTCCATCCAAATAAAATCATGAAAAAAATTTGTAAGGATTGTGAGCTGAATTCCGAAAGTGGTTGCAAACCCTATTTTTTGTTTGTTAAATTTTCAATATGAACGAATCGTAGCAATTTTCGTTTAAATATTACGGTCAGTTTTTCGAATTCTAAAATTACGCGACTAGCAATCGATTACTTCTGGTGTGCGTTGGGATCATTTCGTAAGGATTACGGCTGTAGATATTTGTGTATATCAAGCGAAAATTATCGTAAAGGATGGCCAGATACGTTCAGTGATGTACTGATTGTGCTGGAATGGGAGCAGAACTTTTTACCCTTACCACCAATGATAGCAAACCAAAAAATGTCAGAACGTGCGCCTTACGATCTTTTTAATTAAAAATTTAAATACATGAAGTTGATTGTTGGAGCTAATGTATTGTTTGTCCATCTTTATTAGCATAAACAGTTTCATACTCAAGTATACTTCTGCATAATTTTTGGGGGCAGCATTCCCGTTTTTATGGTAACTCTAACAGAAATGGAAAGCCAAGATTGTTTTCCGTATATATGTAACTGAAGATTCTATGATTCTTCTCCATTTTTGCGTTAACATGGCTGCCTAAACTAAAAAAAAAGTCCACAACATAACTGCCAACAATAAGTCGAATGTTAATAACATAACTATACCCCAAAATACAATCAAGTGTCAATAACAAAACTACATGGAATCTATCAAGCTTTAACAACATAACTACCTGAAATCCATCAAAAACCATCGGCAGTCAAATCTACTGCATTACTTGCACTGCAGGAATCGCAAGTGCTGCATGATTTTCGAACTCACGATCTCTTTTGGCATTGATAGATAAACAATGAAATTTTGTTAGATGTCTTTATGAAATAATTTAAATCAAGGCCAACACAAATACAGGTTTCTAATAAAGATGGAATATATTATATATTCTTATAATTTGTGCATTCAGAAAAGGGTTTCGGGAGCAATCTTCTTCACTCAACCCGGAATAAATTGATTAATTTCAATCAGTTGCGCGATCCAAAGACATTCGGGTCGCCTTATACAAAAGAAAATCTGATCGTCCGAACTTAGTGGCAATTCGACGCTCCCGCGATTCCCAATACTATACAGCTGATTTCCCGATCGCAAAGACAAACTGATCTCTGGATCTCAAAGACAAGTAGAACACCCGATCGTAAACTCAATCTCTCGCCCGATCCGTTCGTCCGATCGCAAAGACAGTCCGATTTTTAGAACCCAAAGGCAAGCAGACGTCGGATCGCAGAGACAAAAGACACAGTTTTAAAGTGGGTTGCCGGTGATGCCTTTCGCACACGGAAAATGAAGAAACATTGCTCAAATAGCGACGCACATTGGAAAGACTTATTTGACTCACATTTTCCTTCTTATTTCGTTTTAGGTACGTCGATCATCAATCTTATTTGAATATATTAACGATTTTTTCTGTGGAACTAAGACAAGAAAATTAAAATTTACTCACCTCGGTATTCTTACGTAACAAAAAGTATCCTTGTTGAAAGATATGCCTAAATTTTACGAAAGGAACGACATGGAAATTGGATGTAATTGTATTACAGTTTATGCAAACCATATTTGATTGAAGTACCAACCTCTATTTATCTCGGTGTAGTTCCCAAGTAAATCCTCGTAGACTTCTTTCCTGCAGACTAGGTTGTAACGAATGGTGACAGACTTATTTTTCCACGCCTCTTTTCGATTGAATAGGAAGAAAAGTCCAAATCAATTGAAACATGAGCATGAATCAAATTTTCATGGAATATGTCGATAAATAATGTCTTCTAAAATGTGAGCTACTGGGTCACAAAGTAAAAATAAAAAAATTCAAATTACTCAGCAAATGATTAATTAAATCAAATAATGAGAGCTCCCATAACTCTGCTATATTTAACAGGTACCAGTATACAATTGTCAACGAACTACTAGCCAAATTGATACGAATAATATTCATTCTATAATTAATGAAAAGGTCCAAAGACCAGCTTCATTCTCATGTCTAAGTACTAATCTTAAAAAAGACAAACAAAATTAAAGCGAAAATTTAGTTTTACTAAGTTTAGATCCAAGTTGCTATTTTCATAAATGGTGACTTGACTCCAAGTTTCTATCTTTACTATTTCCATTAGTCGCAATTGCAACGAATGTAAACACTGTTGATGGTGCGACGTATCTCACCAAAGTTTGTGCAGAACCGCATGTCCCCAACACTCTTGACCAGTTCGCTGATAGAGTGATCCACCGTGCCCACATCCGTGGCAAAAGTGAAGTTTTTCTTTGTCTGCTCCTCAAGCTTCGTTTGGTACTGGTAGATGAAGCTACACTGCAACCGCTGGAAGGCTTTGTCCTTTTCCATGTATGGAGACTGGTCTGTTCGAGCAATCAGGGACTATCATAAGATTCCACGAAAATAACACCACTATTCGTCAATTTTATAATAATAAAATATACTAGTGTTATAGCTTTGATTAGGCTATGTTAGCCAGTTCCCTATATATTCTTAACAACTCCCCGGCCTCCTTGCCGGTTTCTATCAGAATTTCCGCAACAAAAAGCGGGTTTAGAACCGCCAACTCACCGCTGCAATCTAAATCTAAAAGACTCGGCCAGATTCCATTTGATTTCAAACTTAGGAGATTTTCAAAATGACTATTATATTATCAGCTCGCCTTTATATAATAAACTTACTATTAGTGTTTCAAGTGTAAAGTACTAGTAATTTATTCATTGGAAAATTTGATAACGATTCACCTGTTATATTAGCACGTGTGTTCTGCACACTGACGGTGGGGAGCGTGGGTAGGATGGTAGAGTTGAGTGAAGGTGGGGTCTGCATTCATTGAGCACACGTTAGTTTGTATCTTATAATAAAGCCAAACCAAAAAATAATCAAAGTTATATAATCAAATTTGATATATGACTATGAATCATCATTAGTGAATTAGGAGAGAATCTCACATATCCAATGAAGTTCGTGAAAGATAATTTTGCTTCATTGCATGAATATTTCTAAGTAAGGTTGTCGGAATGAACTATTCAACAAAGATGAGAATGAAATCTATTACAACAACAGCGACCGTTTCAGCTCCAAGCAAAAAATTTATTGCTTTAAAGTATTTTAAAGGTACATACCAATATTGGAGAAACTGCACGCTTGCCCCTTAGGCCTGTCACTGGAAAACCACCAATAGTCGGCAGATTTGTAACTTTAGTGGTTGAGATACCGGGAATGGTGGAGGCATTAACTGGAATGATCGATGGGATACCGGAAACAATGGAGGCATTAAGTGGAATGATAGTTGGAATTTCAGAAACAATGGAGGCATTGACTGGAATGATAGTTGGGATATCAGAAACAATGGAGGCATTGGCTGGAATGATCGACGGGATATCAGAAACAATGGAGGAATCAAGTGGAATGATAGTTGGGATATCAGAAACAATGGAGGCATTGGCTGGAATGATTGACGGGATATCGGAAACAATGGAGGCATTAACTGGATTGATAGTTGGTAAAGTTGCTCCGTTCGTAAGATTTTTGGCTGCATTAATAGCCTCTCCAAGATCTTCAATTAAGCCAGTCATGTTTTCATTGATAACATTTTCGAAGTTTGCCAGGAGTCCTTCTATATAGTCCAAATCGTCCTCGGAGGGGTGGTACAACTCGTAGTGGGGATCCATCTCACATGAGTTATCGCATGTATCTGTGAAAATAAGCTTTTTTATTAAGAGGTTTTGTACACTAGTTGGTTGTATTTTATTTATGTATTTATACTCTGCTAATACCAAACGATAAAATAGGATTTATAAGCTCCTGAAAAATATGGCTGGCAGATGCTCATCTATTATTTTTGAATTATAGTAAAATTTAGTTCAGTAATTGTTTGATTTCTTGCTCGGTACAGTAATTACTTGGTATTGTATCGTTCATTTTATTATTTCAACAATTTCCACGGTTTGTTGAATTATTCACCTTCTTCCAAGGAATCGTTACTGACAGATTTGAGGCCTTCACATTCTGAAAAAGTAGAAGATGTTGCATTGCTTAGTTTCAAGCTAAGTAATTCTTTAAGCTCTAGAAATTTAAGAAAAATATGAAGGTTGATACTAGATTTTATGTTGATGCATTAGATTTAATCGTGCATTTATTTATACGATAAATTGTAAAATTTATCGATTATTTTATTAGATATCAGAAGAAAACAAAAAGAAGTCTTATGAAAATTAGCTGTCAATGCAAAATACACGTCAGCTCCGCGTAAAATGAAGCCGGAATATATCCACCTAGTGGAAAATATTATTGCACTAACACATACATTTAAACACAACTATAAAATAATTATATATTTTCGTTATAAACAGACTGAACACAACCGTATACAATTTTTTTGGGCTCTTTGAGGAATGTGATCAGAATGAAATATTCGATAGTTGGTCGTAAATCTAAACGAAAATTGTAGCTGTGGATTATTAAAAATGTTGCTATTGCATTCAAACAAATTATTCATCACTGTGGAAATAAATATTTGCATAAGCGGAGTGTTCACCAGTGACTGTGTTCTGTTCCTGCACGTTGATGAAGGCGCCGTAGACTATGTCGTTCCTGAGCGCCTCTTCGTTGTTGATGGGGTTCAGGCTGCATAGAGTCACCGCTGGAAACTGCGCCGGGCGCTCCGTTTGAAGCTGAGATGAAAAATGTGTTATTCATGCCATTTCGACAACGAAAACATGTGAATTTTGGTGATCAAAGAAGGTACACTTATCGATTCAATGGAATTAAATTGTTTAAATGAAAATTGAGGCTCTAATCGATGTCCATCGACAAGCAGGAGCCGATTCATTTTAAGTCGGAGTTCTGACCGGATAGACCGATTACGAAACCGAGGATAGGTAAAGATTTCGCTGTGATTTAATATGGTTAGAAAAATGAAAGTTGTCGTTTTGGACTAAACTTGGTACAGATTTTGAAGCTGGCTTTTTGAACTCATTTTGTAACTTAAAAAAGGAATGATAATAGTTATGAATAAAGTTATGAATAATAATTAGATTTTAAAAACGGATGAACTGATACTTCTAAAATTATAGCAGACTTTTTATCGCTTTAAAATGAATAAATTTCTAAGTTTGGGAGACCTTTCGAGCTGATTTTAGAAAGTTATGAATACTAATTCTATTTTGGAAACGGCTGATACCTCGTGAAATTGTGACAGATTTTTTACCGCTCTAAAGTTAATAAATTTCTGGGATTGGGAGAACTTTCGAGTCGAATTTGAAAAATTAGGAATACTATTTTTTTTAGAAACGGCTGAACTGACACTCGCAAAATTATAACAGACTTTTTATAGCATTAGAGTGAAGAAATTTCTGTGTTTGGGAGAATTTTTGAGTTATATGTAAAAAGTTATGAATACTAATTCTACTTTAGAAACGGTTGAACTGATACCGTACTAGTAAATTTATGACAGACGTTTTATCGCTTCAAAGTGAATAAATTTTTAGGTTTGGGAGAACTTTTGAGTTGCCTTTTAAAAAGGTATGAATACTAATTCTTTTTTAGTAACGGGTGAACTGATACTTGTGAAATTGTAACAGACTTCTTACCGCTTCAGAGAGAATAAATTTCTAGGTTTGGGTGATCTTCCGAGTTTAATTTAAGAAGTCATGCTATCCAATTCTTTTTTAGAAACGGCTGAAACGATACTTGCGAAATTATAATAGACTTTTTGTCTGTTAAAAATAAATAAATTTATAGGTTCGGGAGAACTTTCGGGCTGAATTTGTAGAGTCATGTATGCTAATTTTATTTAGAAACGGCTGAACCGATACCTGCGAAATTTTAACAGACTTTTTATATCTCTTTAAAGTCAAAATATTTCTATGTTTGGGATAACTTTCGAGTTGAATTTGAAAGGTATGAATACAAATTCTATTTTAGAAACGGCTGTACTGATACTCGTGAAATTATAATTAAATTTATTTGCTTTAAAGTTAATAAATTTTTAGGTTGATTGTTAAATTTCGAGTTGAATTTGAAAAGTTAGGAGTTCTAATTCTATTTTCGAAACTGCTGAACTGATACTCGTGAAATTATTGCAGACTTTTATCGCTTTGAAATGAACAAATTTCAAGGTTTGAGAGAACTTTCAAGTTGAATTTAAAAAGTTATGAATACTAATTCAACTTCAGAAATGGCTGAACTGATACTCGTGAAATTATAACAGACTTCTTACCGCTCTAAAATGAATAAATTTCTAGGTTTGGGTGAAATTTCTAGTTGAATTTAAATAGTTACCAATCTTATTTTAAAAGCAGCTTTGCTGAATACTCGTGAAATTATAACAGACTTTTTACCTCTTTCAAGTGAAGAAATTCCTAGGGTTGGGAGTATTTTTGAGTTGAATTTAAAAAGTTAGGAATACTAATTCTATTTTAGAAACAGCTGAACTGGTACTTGCGAAATTATTACAGACTTTTATCGCTTTAAAACGGCGTTTTACGTTTGGGTGAGCTTTCTTGTTGAATTTGAAGAGAATTCAAAGTGATTTACTGTACAATGAACCTAATCCAATGATTACTTCGTGGGATTTTACGTATTTTATGCAACTAAAACACTTGGCGTGCAAGCTGATCCCGCATTATTGGTGAGCTGGATACCGAAAAATTCTAGACCTGCAAGGTATCTTAACCTATCTTAAATTTCTTCGAAGAGACCTGAAATAATTTTTTTGTCTTACCTGAACCGCCACAGCTTTAGGGTACCCTATGTACTCATTGTAGACGTCGTAGCACTGCATGAGGCTGTACACCGTGCACAAAATCAAGAACGTCAACCACACCAGCCGACGCAACCAATGACGAGCGCTGAAATAAAACACGTTAGAACTCATCGGATTATCAGGAAATTGGTGGGTTACTGCGACAATCTCTATAACCTTTGACAGTTTCCAGCCTGGGAGGTGCTTCTGTCACTGCAAGTCTCATAATCAATCATAAAAATCTCAACATTTTGACCACTTTGCAGGCTAAAAATTACGTGAAGAAAGCAAACTAAATGATTCCAGTTACCCGCAAGTCTGCGCAGGGCCGTCCAAGGTGACGGTCTCGATGAACTCTTCGGTGCGGGTCTTCAGTCGCGTCCAGCGGTTCTCTGGCTCAACTGGCACGTCGAATTCCGACGGGGGTTGTTCCCATGAATCTTCGTCGCTGAATAAGAGTTAATAGGTTTATAAAATTATTTAGGTTGAACACTTAAAATTCGTTAATTTATGAATTGAAATAGCTGACGGAAAGAGTAAAACACTAGGAGGAAAAGGCATTAACTGGAGTAAAAAAACACTAATGGGAGTAGGTGTGGAGTAAAAAAACCCTAATATATGTTTTCGAGAAACCACAGTGAGGTGAATGGGCAATCCTAATGCTCTGCAAGCAATAACGATTTGTTAGTCTCTTTAATATCAGAACTTGCCGGCCCAATGAACAAATTTATTTCTAAAAGTTTGAAGAAACTCCCCACATAAAACCTAAAATTTTTGGTTAGCCAATCATATTGTGTTGGGTTCACAGGTTCAACGACGGGAAATTATCGCCTTGATGTCAGCAAATCATCCTAAGTTTCGGTAAGATTGCAAACTGCGATCGAATCTTAAGCCTATATTGTAAGATGCATGTGCCAAAATTTCGCTTATATTGTAAGATAAGCGAAGTTTCGCGTATAATGCTGCTGCACCAAAGTTTCGTTAATATTGTATGGAACGTAAAATTCCGCTAACAGTGTGAGTTAATTATGGCTTATATTGCAATATGCGCCAAAATTTCGCGTATATTGCAAGATAAGCAAAGCTTCGCGTATATTGCATGATACCCAAAGTTTCGCGTATATTGCAAGATACGCAAAGTTTCGCATATAGTGCATGATACCCAAAGTTTCGCGAATAGTGCAAGATACGCAAAGTTTTGCGTAAATTACATGGTACCCAAAGTTTCGCGTGTAAATTGCAACTCACGCCAAAGTCGCACTGTTTACCCCCGCAAAACGAGTCGGTGATTCGTGCTTGATTTGTGCTATACTATCACTTTCCGATCTTACGAAGCCAGGGCAATGAACGTTAAGCTAGTACTAAAAAAACTTTTAATTTCATGGTCACATTTGACGTACTGTAGCGTTTACTGTAACGCAAAATGTTTCGAAATAAATTCCCTGGCATGAAGAGGATGTAGATGACCAACGCTAAAGCGTTTTTTAACTCGAGCTAGGAAGCGATCATGATGAATCATAGGCGTGCGTATTAGAGGTATTCTACATATTGTATGTATTTTAGGTATTAGTGTCGGTATCAGAAAAAGTGAAGCTTGTAAAAAAAACGTATATGATCGTTGACCTCTTCGGAACGTCACCTTTTTCTGTAGGTGTAAGCTTTGGTATATAGCACGTCGAATAGTCACGCAAGGCACCTGCACCGATACCGCGGTACTTCAAATCATCACGCACCGATACCGCTGTTGTAAAAATCGTGACGCACTTATATCGCATTAGTTTAAATCGCCGCACTCCGATCCCGCGGTAGTAAAAATCTTCATTCACACCACCTACACCTCCAAGCAATATTTTAACTATTTTCAACAAGTTTCCAGTTTTGCCAACATTTTTGAAGCGCTTTTTCATTCTTTGTTCAATCCCAATTTTCCTCAACATTTCGCAGTATTTTTACAAAAATTTTCTAATACTTTGTAGCATTTTCTCCTGCAGCAAAGTCAGTTTCAGGAATTTTAGTATATTGACTTGATTAAAAAATAAATACAAGGAGATTCGCGGGAACTTCTTGTTTTGTATTTCTTGGCAAGCAGCTAGATGTTGTAAAAAAATGACGGGGTGCATTTCATATGAACGGCAAAGTCACGAAGTTTTGTGTGCCGCTTAGTCAGTAGCAACAATGCATTGGACAAGTGAGTAGCGTGCGTTTGCTATCGAGGCGTACTTTTTACCACGTTTTTCTTAGCTCACTTTCGTGTCCCTCTGTCTGTGATGATCAAATCTTGCAATCGATATTTCACCCACTTTCCCGCTATCTAGCAATCTGAAACTTTTAGGGAAGCTCAGCTCCCGATAACAATACAATAATCAATAATTTGTTGCACGTTTCCAGGCGTATTTATTACCGAAGATTTCTTTATTACAGCAACGCACCCAGATAAATACGGGAACAACAATGTATCCCCTCGAATACAATTTTCTACAGAACTTCGAAAAGAATTTTCTTTCGTGCATTTGCGTGGCCAACTGAAATAAAATGAATATTATGTAGGATGGTTGACCTTTTTGCAGTAGTAATAAACTCTAAAGGAACTCACAAGCAGGGGTTTGGGAACCTTTAAATGCACGTCATCCTCGAGAGGATATTCGTGTTTAGACTCAAGAGAATGAAAGCAAACAGAGATCAGTAGCTGCCGTAAAATTATTTTCTACTTTTGAGTCCACATGAAAAACGTGGTCTTTAAAATTTTTTTTATACATTTTATTTGATATCCGTTCCATGATATACTTAATGAGCATTTCGTACTCAGTTCCGCGTATCTGTCCATGAGGTCTGGTTCCTGTTCTGCTCTGATCTTGATCGGGTTCCGATTTGGCTCCGTGTGTTTTATGGGGTTATCTTAGTTAAATCAATTGCTTACAATGACTGTCCAAGAACCCTACCTCATTTGAAGAACGACATACGCCAAGCCATCGCCAACATACCCGTCAACATGCTTCAGCGAGTTGAACGGAACTTCAAAAAGAGACCAACTGAATGCATTGACAATGGGGGCCGTCATTTGTCCGATGTCATCTTTTAAACTAAACGATACAAAAGTTCCGGTAATGCATTTATATTTATAAATGCATTTATATTGTAAATTTATATTGTATATTGTAAAATTTATATTGTAATGATATCTTTACAACTTTTTTTTATTGAGCTTTCAAATCAGGAAGTTTTCCTGAATCACCCTGTATTATTATGAATTTTTATTTGCGAGTAAGCAGGGAATGCCACATCGTAGAACCTTCTTTCTCTCAGCTATTTCATGATTTGCATACAATGAATGCAAACAAATAAGAACCAGGAGTCGTAACATAAAAACACTAAAACAAATAAAACTCAAAAACTTTTAGTTATCATGACCATGACAGGAAACACCAACGAACTGAAATATTTAGAATTATGTGTAATTTGAATGGAAAAAATGGCATACCCTTCAACGTGAAGTGAAACTACACTTATACATCCCACCTTCCCTATTGCCTCGATGCTCTCTCTCTCTTTCTCTCCTCCCGGTGTTGCGACATTGTAGGTGCACTGCAATTGCTTTAATAATATAATAACATGAATATAAAATCATGTTATTATTATAAATAAATATATGTGTTTATTTTAAATAAAACACGATCATACTTTATGCTCTGTTCTGCAGCTTAACCATTGTAAATTAGAGAAGTTACTCCTTATTATATATTAGGAAGTCGATTTAATTTTTTGCGACATTGCACCACGAGGCCGCGCTGATAGTCAAATGACGGTTCTTTATGAATACCAATTCTCTACATGAATCAGTCTCCATAATTTTAAGACCTTTGGACTCTTTGTTAGTGATCATCAAACAGTGTCAATATTTTTTTATTAAAATGGAACTTGAAAATTAGTTTTTGAGCTATTATATCCTCAGTACGTTCGTTGCCCACGAAATCTAGTGTATCTAGCGATGAAATTCTCGATGCAATTTAATTTGAAGTTCGTACACTGTAAAAAACAAACTGAATAAAAACGACAGGGGGCGATGAACATCAAGTCGATGCGAATGACATCGGCTGTACATTTTACTAACTTCAGTGATCACTTTTTTTGCATTGATCGCGGCTTAGTTCTACAGTCGCTAAACCATGTACAGATTCGATAGCACAAAGAGAAAAGACTGTGCAATCTACTGAAGAAACTGAAGTTAATCCTAACTTTTTATAACCATTGTTCTAGTCTATTCTCTTGAACACCGAGTCTTATAAGAAAGTCTTTTTCTTGCGGACCAGAACAAAAACTTTATGTATCATTCGTGCAGAATATTGTTCCAAATGATAGGTCCAATTAAAAAAAATCCATTCGATTTACTGTCGCTAATCAGTTTCTGTCATTGACTACAGGAATTGTTCATAGTGTTTTGGAACTGTAGAAAAGTTGCGAATGAACTTTAAACAACTACTAAATACTTAAAAACACTTCTTCTATTGTAACTACAGAAAAATTCATGCTAGTAAAGTAGATGAGAAATGAATTTACGATTAGGCAAATAAATCCTAGAATCGCTATAAATTACTTAAATCCCGAAAGTGGGCAAAAAATCCAACCCAAAAATTTAGAAGTACAGGGATCTCAAGACCGTGTCTTGAGTTCCCTGCTTATACCACAGATTTTTTAATAGCGCTGCGTTACTTGATAAATCTTTCCTTTTCGCTAATAATATATTAACGCAAATGAAATAAGGTCCATGGTTTATCACAGTTTCGTTTATTAATTGTCTCCAGTGGTCCGGATACTATATTGAAAAATTATTAAAAACATGATATTGGGCCTTCACTAAATTCCTCGTATCACACCTAAATGATTATGTCGCGCGTATTAAATGTTCGCCAAGCATCAGAGGATATAATTAATTGAGTAAATCTAGTAATTTGTAATGCTCGTAATTCATTGGTGCATTAATACGAGTGTTTTAGCCTTTAAAGTATTTAAAGAGTTTTGGGTCGAGAGTTTTATTTCCTGCTTCAAATTATTGAGGTAATCGTGTTAATACAAGTGATTTTCATTATGAGAGTAAACTTGAGTGTAAATTTATCAATATCAATAGTCTGAAACGTAGAAAAATTTTATGTGTTTACATGATTGAATATTTCCAAACCATCACTACGGGATTTTCATGATAAATAATAAAAAAACATAGCTAATCGATGATAATAAACGCAAATATTAATCGAATACAAGTGTTGAAAAAACTTTCGTTTTCGCCTGCGTCGTCATCGCGGGAGTGAAGCTTCTACTTTACACCAATTATTGCACATTTACTGTACACCGTTT